TGAGGGCCCAACGAACGAACAAGTGCCCTTGCGGGCCACACACACACTCAAGCCAACCAGCACTCAGACAGACATGCAGTCCAGCAAGCGTGCACCCACACAGACTTAGAGAACTTAGTAGCAAGCGGGAAACTCAACAAGGCATTCAGTCCATGAGCAAAACTCAGAAATCAGCCGTGTGTTTCAGTCCATGTTTGGTCGGGTCATCACAACCCTGTTACTTGAGCATTGATTCCCTCATCCCCGTAGAACATCAATAGTATTGCCCTGTTACCTGTTACGTTAACCTTGTGGCACTTCAACTACCCTGTTACCTGAACATTGATACCTTCACACTTGTAGAACATCAGAAAGATTACCCCGTTACTTGCATTACTCCCCCTTTCCTTTTCTGACCAGTGATCGACCCTGTCCTGTGCTTCAGGATTGTTCATCGGGTCTTTGGCAGCCAAATGTCAGGCTGCTATTTCATTTTTGATATCTGTTCTCAGGCCCCTGACTGTTGGCGCCCTCTGCAGTTGGCGCCCGTTCTCAAATTCCTCTTTTGGCACTTTCGGATTTCGATACTGGGCGCCATCCAGCATTCTGGCGCCCAGACTCCGATTTTCAGTTCATCCCTGAGGCAATTTGCACTTTTGCCCTCGGGACTGAACTTGAGTCCCGTACTTGAGACCGGACTCAAGCCCAGTACGGGCAACCAGTTTTCAGCCTCATTGCTTGTGTTCAGTGTGACTATGCTTCGGCATTGTGTTCAGGAATCCAAGACTGCGACTTTGCGACTTTGCCAGCTTGTGTCTGCGTCCGTCGAGTCGTGTTGAGTCGGCGTCGAGTTGAGTGAGTGTGTGTGTGTGCTCTCACTCTCCTTCCCTCTCCCAGCGTCGCTGCCCTGTCTCCGCCTCGTTACAAAAAGGCAACTTGCTTTATACAGAAGACTTCACCAGCAAGAAAGCACCGACCCAATCTCCCAGAGGTCGACCACAAAATTAATCACACAAGCACAACAGCATTGGCACCGCCATTCAACCCAAACGAATCACTCACGTCACCACCATCTCTATCACTCCATGGCTAGACATCCTCTATTTCACTTTGCTGTCTAGCCCTGGAGTGTATAGAGTGCCGCAAACCTGGACCCACAAGATCTTCACGCGGCACCAGGAGCGCTACTGCGTATCACAGCAAAAAAACTCACTCTACACACCAGTCTGCCACAGACCAGCACTGGTATGACAGCAAAGTATAGTCCCAGCCCTTAGCCACATAGATTTGCCACAACGGAGAGCTACTAAGGACATATTTGTGTTGCATATCTGCTCAACACAACACCAAGACAGACTGTTTCAGTTGGACTTTCAGCAACTCATAGGAGGGAATGTGTGTGTTCGTGTGCGTGTGTCAGACCCAGTCCTTGGCCACATTGATCTGCCGTGACGGAGAGCTACCGATGCCATATTTGTGTTGCATATCTGCTAAACAAAACACCAACACAGTCTGTTTCAATCAGACTTTCACCAAGTCATCAGGAGGGGGCGCGCGCGCGCGCGCGCGCGCGTGTGTGTGTGTGTGTGTGTGTGTGTGTGTGGATGTCACAGTGTCCACAGTTTCGATGAAATTGGCAGAGTGCCAAGTTAGGGGCATGTCTGTTGTGGATGAATTGCCTCACTTGTTGGGCTGATGAATATTTGAGACACATCTTGAATTCTGCTGTGGTTTGAATGTGTTGGCTGGCTGGTGTCTTTTCATCTACAAAGTAACAAAGTAGCTCATTGCGTGGGTTGTTTTTCATTTTTTGTCTGTGGTACTGACTAGCCAGCTTGAACACATGCTATAATTGTGTTTGATTAACTTTGATAGGATTTGAACTTTTGAGTCTCGAGTCTCTTGACCCAATTTTTTTTCGGTTCCAAGGTATCACAAGTCAGCCATGCTGCTATGTCTCATCTTGTGGCCTTAAATTTGAATTGAATGATCACACAGGAGTCACACCTAACACTTCACAACTCAGCGGATGAGTCACTGTTAACTTGCCGTTGGCTTGCTGTTGATTTCCGTTGGCTGGTTGTTGACCTGCGTTGGCCTTCTGTTGACCCGCTGTTGGCTTTCTGTTGACCTGCTGTTGGCTTGTTGTTCACTTGCTGCTGGCTTGCTGTTGACTTGCTGCGGACTTGCCGCTGTCCTACTGATGACTTACAGTTGGCTCAGTGTTGGTTTGCTGTTGAATTGCTGTTGAACTGCTGCGGTCTTGCTATTGACTCGTGAAATGGGAATTCCCAAATCAGTTTTTATCACACTCTGTCTTTGCTGCTCACAAAATATTGTCCCTCCCTTGTGATTTAATATGTTTTTTTGTCTGCTTGCAGGTCCGAGCAACTGCAGTATATGCTCTTGGAACATTGCTTAGTGTGAACAAAGATGACCTTGATGGTCTCGCAGATGATGCAGCAGAGGTGGAAGAGAGAATGAGGAAAGAGCGTGAAATCGCACGTCGAATTTGGCCATTGTACATTGATGGCAGCATTCCGGTGCGGAGGGAGCTGGGAATCGGTATGTATACATTTTGCCTATGAAATGCTAAATGAGAAGTTCCGCTCTCTGAGGCTCTTAAGCAAAATGTCTTTCTGGAAGCCATTCATTTTGTTGTCAAATATGGCATGCATGTGCACAATCTGGAGTGGGTTTAGAGTCCTATCAACAGCCCCAGTGTGACTATTGTGCGAGGATCTGGGTCCTCGGTAGGCCTATGGGGCCCTGTTTGCAGCATTGCCCGCCCTAAGTGAAGGCGGAGGTGCCCGCCCTAAGTGAAGGCGGAGGTGCCCGCCCTAAGTGAAGGCGGAGGTGCCCGCCCTAAGTGAAGGCGGGCCTGACATATCGCAAGAGGCCCTCGACTGTCAATTTCATATTTGGGGTCGAGGTAGTTGCGACGCGCCAGTTGGTTGAAAGAAACTCAGGCCGGGCAACACAGACATTTCCACGGCCTTCTGGGCTTTTCCAAAGAATGCAGGCCCTGGGCGTGATTCGCAGCCTCATACAGAGACAGTTGGGCGCCCAGCCGAACGAGGCCCAGCAGCCCAGTAGCTGCTGTACCCAGGCAGCCTCCTGGGGCCTTCCCGAAGCTTCTGGGCCCAGGCCAGTGCAGCCAGGCTGCGCGAGCAGGCCAACTCTTTCAATAAAGGAAAGAGCTCTGCCCTGGCTGCCTCATTCAGGCACTCGCATGCTAGCGGCAGCGCTGCTGGAGCAAGAGCTTGCGGCTGCTGGCTGGCGCTGAGAGTCGAGGTGCAGCACGTGCGGTCGTGCAGGGAAGAAGGGCGCTGCTGAGGGCAGTGCCATAGCCCAGCCACAGTAGCTGGTGGGCTTGGACTACAGTGAGGCGCAGGGGTGGTCTTCGGGTGTAAGAGAGGACAGACGTGGGAGGAAAGTCAGGGGATAGGTGAAGGATGAGGATGACGATGATGTGAGGGCACTTACCTTGTATTGGCGATGGTCTGCATGGGCGACATCTTCAAGTACTTCGGGTTGCTGCTGATGTCAACAGTTGCATTGTCATTTAGTAGGCTGTAGTAGCTGTGTAGAAGTATGCTGGGCGCTGAGCGCCAAGTAGGAGTGYGAAGKGACTGGACTCTTGTGTTGGTGTGGAGAGAGCATGCTCTCCTTGACATTGGTTTTCAGTACTATGAACCTCCAYTGGTGTATTATTGGTGCAATGCTGCTCTCTGGACACAGTGTGACTATCTGGCTTTCAATGTGATGGTGTAATCTGGAATTGTCATCTCGCTGTTGCTTATTTTCCTTACAATTTGGTATCGGAGCTGGTTCATATTGCGCTTCATTGGTTCTTCGCAATAGCTATTGGTGCTTCGCATGAGGTGTGGGGCAGTGATAAGGCATTGACGTTGAACATTGGGCCGCCCAGGGTAGAGTGGATGCACCAGGGAGCTATGTGGTGACATACGGGGTGTATGCTGGATGATGAGAGCTCGCTGATGTGGCATATTAAGCCGAGGTGGAACCGCATTCTGCTGTTGGTTGTGCCGAGGCAAAGACCGGTCGTCATAATTGCACATCAGGTTACCGGTGCGAAATCTGTGGTTGGGGTAAGCATTTATGAGGTACGTTGCTCTCTTCTTTATCTACCCTCTTCGTTACTTCTTACCGTGAGGAAGTGAGTTCTGTCTTGAGAGTCCTCTCGTCGTGAGGTGTCGCGAGCGCTCAACCTTGAGAGGCGACATTCTTCCTGGGCAGCAAGCTCGTGGGAGACGGGCGAAGCCTCTGAAGGGCCCTGGACGAAGCACTCGGGTCACGGTCACCATGCCAACCCGCTGGGACTAGTACACGCATGCTTGGGCTGCAAGTCCTTGGTTCTGCTGCTTGCGCAAAAGAGGTCATGCAGGGTATGCCAGCCCTTTGGACAGACGCTTGCCAGACCGTCTTTAAATATTTCTGGATGCGGTGGTGTTGAACATGGCTGTGATCGTCGTCCTGTCTGCGACGTTAAATAATTCCTGAGGAGATGGGGGCTCTCCTTAAATCCCTCCTGATCAGCCAGATCAAACCAAGTGGAAGGCTCGTTGCATGCGAGGATAAATAAAGTGCAGGGGCTGGCAAGTTCGACGTTGACTTGGGGCACAGGGGTGGGCCGGATTGCACACCTTCAGACACGCTGCTCAACCAGATGCTCAGGACGTCGACACAAAGCGACCACTCAAGAAGGATACAGGGGGAGGGGGGATTCTGGTAATAGTTCACAGTGGCTATAAGTAGGCAATCTGCCATTTCAGTGTACATCTCCAACAGGAGATGTTATTTTTGTTTTGATTACTTAGTTGTTACGGACTTGTCTAACAACTGACAGACAGCTACAGAGAGACTAGGTCTTTGTTGTTATGCTATATGTATTAGAGTAATCTAAAAATAGATTTAATACATCCTGTAGGACCTGACATTAGTTGTAATTACATCACCTAACTTTTTCTGTACCATCCGACCGAAACTAGTTGTGATTCATAATCGGTTGTGTGTCAGGCTAAGGTAGGATTCAGTGTGGATTCTAGTTTAGATCACACACACTGTAGCTCATGAGTGATGCAAGCACAAGTGAGGAGGAGTTGTTAGTGGACGACCGTAAGACTACTTGTGAGACTGCCCGTAGTCGACCCTTGACATTCTTGGAGTTAGGTCCAGGAGACGAGAGAAGATTGCGGAGAGAGGCTAGAGAGAGAGCAACGGCAAGGAGAGCGAGGGCAGCTGAGGATAGTGCCAAGACTAGAGTTTCAGCTAGTACCGGTGCAACCATGGCTACTTCATCTATGTCGCAAAACTCTTCACAGTCCACTTCGTCAGGAGTCAGTCAGAGTGGTTCTCAGGGGTCCATTAGTCAGACTGCTAGCTTGCGAGTCAACCTGCAGACTCAACTCACGGCGGAGGATTTAGAAATCCGACAAGCAGAAGAACTTCAAGATGAGCTACAGCGGCAGTTGGACGAAGCAACAGAGAGGAGAAGAAAAGCCATACTTAGAAAGTCTAGACTAGGGAGTAGAATGCAGGAGCTAGGCAGGCTGGAAGGACTAGATGAGGCGGCATTATACCCTACTGTTCGTGTGCTGCGTAGTGCCTTACTTTCAGTGGCTGAAGCGCAGAATGTCCAGCAGGAATTGCTGGCCGAATTGGTGGCAGGCCAGAAACAAATCCTGGCTGAACTTCGGGCTCCTCGCACAGTGGTGAGGCAGCCGCAGTTTGCAGTAGTTCCCCCTGCGAGTGCGGGTCCTTCATCGATGTCGCAATACACAGGGTCAACTTTCTCTCCTATGTTTGGCATACCCCCTCCAGGTGGTTTAGTAGCAACTAGTGGTCCGGTTCATTCAGTCTCAGCCGTACCATCTACGACAGTGGTCACTACAGTCCCACTGTCAAGCCAGGCCCAGGTTAGTGTGCAACAGCCTGTTTCAGTGGCTATGCAGCCGTTGCAGCAAGCCCCTGGGCCCATGCAGCCTATGCAGTGGATGCCCAAGATTCCTCTGACGAGTCCCAAACCCTTCTTTGGTGATAGGAAGAAGGATGAGGACTTAGACACCTGGGTGAGGACTGTGCCTACTTATGTGAGGCACAAGATCATTAGGCCAGAGCAAGAAGTTGTAGTGGCTGCCTCCTTTTTAGAGGGGTCAGCAGCCCGCTGGTTGAATGGCTTAGTGCAGCAGCAGGGCTACGGTCAAAACTTCGATGCCTGGGCACAGGCCCAGACATTGGAAGAGTTTGTACGATCTGTGTATAACAGGTGGCATGACCCGCAAGGGGCTCAAAAGGCCACCGATGCAATCAACAGTCTTTGTTCCCGCAGGTTCAAGAATGTTAGAGAGCTAACGGACGCCGTAGAACGACTACTCGTGGTACCTGGAGTGCGTTTTGACCAGCAGGTTCTCCTAACGGATTACCTAAGGTGCCTACCTGCAGAGGTAAGGACCAAGCTGGTTGATGAGGCCTATGTCGAACAGCACACCTTCGCTACTTTTAGTAAGAAAGCTCTGGACATAGAGGCAAAGCTAGGATCTGCCCATCAGGTATCCCATGATGGTAGGAAGAGACTCCCCCAGGACTAGAAAAAAAGGGTCAGTGAATGTTCGTTGACCATGATGGTCAAACGACGGAGATTGACGATTTCCCAGATCTTGGGGAGGTGACAGAGCACGATGGGGCCAGTGAGACTTTGGATGGGGGAGTCGTGGCACCTATCAGCGAAAAGGCTAGGGGGACCGGGAAGAAGAAGGTAGTACGGTCCACGGGTCAGGGCGACCAAGGGACACCCGCATGGGTGAAGATTGGTTTAGATTACGAGGTGTGGAGGGACCGAGTTGCCAGGGGCACGTGCATGAATTGTGGCAACTATGGCCACACGTCAAGGACATGCCGAGGCAAAAAGGTCACAACGAAGGTAGCCTCACCAACAAGCTACATCTTGGTTGGAAACCCAGAACTGCGCTTGACTTTCTGCTACCGGAAAGGCAACCCACTACAGCCCCTGGCAGCATAGAGGATACTCAAGGATTGCTGCACCTATGACGAGGTTACAGTCGCCAAAGGTGCCATTCGTATTCGATGACGATGCACGCCGGTCATTCCAAGCACTTAAGACAGCTATGCTCATGGCACCCGTCCTTAGCATCTACGACCTCACCCTGCCTACGAGAGTGACTACTTCAGCCGCTACATCTAGTCAGATGAGCGTTGGCATGCTGCACACTTCGCAGACCACATCTAGTACAGTGGCGTCAAGCAGTTCTTCCAATAAGATGGCGGGCTCGTAGTACAGCTCGCTAGCTCCACGCACGAGAGAAGCCATCGAACTCCGGCAAGTGGATTTGATCCGCTTACGGTTAGAGAAGGAACTTAGAGAAGCTGCTGAAAGCGAAACGAAGATTAGAACTAGGAAACCTAGACTAGAGAATAGGAAGGCAGTCAAAGCTGCAGTAGAAGGGTTCGATGATGACAGCACGAGGATTCTCAAGGTAGGTCATATGTCCATGCATGCATACAGGGACAGCAAAGTGGATGCT